ATATGTTGAAAAACCTAAATGATTTCTTAATCCTAAATTTACCCACTATATCAATAGACTTAAAAGGCCCTTGTATGGATTAAAACAAGCTCCTAGAGTTTGGTATGACAAACTAACTGCATATCTTTTGGAACATGTGTTCTCTAGAGGTGGTGCAGATAGAACGTTATTCATTAAATGGATTGAAGAAATCATCACCATAGCTTAGATATATGTTGATGACATCATATTTGGATCTCTAATTGACTCACTTGCTCATGAATTTGTTGAATGTTTAAACCAGAATTTGAAATGAGCATATTGGGAGAACTAAATTTCTTTCTTAGTTTTGAAGTAAAGCAAACTGATATTGGGTTGTTCATATCTCAATCAAAATATGCTAAGAATAGTAAAGAATTTGGGTGGATAGCAAGAAATACAATAGAACACCCATGAGCATTAGTGTTAAGATAGGTCATGATCTTATAAGAAAAATGTTGATAAAACACTTTATCGGAGTATGATAGATAATTTACTTTATCTTACAGCTAGTAGACATGACATAGCATTTAGTGTTGGTATTTGTGCTAGATTTCAAGTCGGCCCTAAGGAGTCTCACTTAAGTGCTGTGAGACATATCATTTGATATATTAATGTCATTATAGATCATGGAATTTTGTACTCTAGAGATTCCAATATAGATCTAGCATGCTATTATGATGCAGAATGGGCTGGGAATGTCGATGACAAAAACAAAATAACACATTTGGAGGGTGTTTTCATGTAGGGACAAATCTTGAAGCTTGGATGATAAAGAAACATAATTCTATATCTTTGTCCATGGCTGAGGTCAAATACATAGCCGCAGGAAGTTGTTGTACACAACTGCTTTGGATGAAGCAAATATTAAGTGATTATAAAATCGAGAAAGGTATTATGATTGTGTTTTATGACAATTCAAGTGCTATAAACATTTTCAAAAATCATATTCAACATTTTCGAACTAAATGTATAAATATTAGACATCATTTTATTTGAAAGCTTGTGGAGACTCGTGTTGTATCTCTTGAGCACATCTCCACAGAAAATTAGTTAGTTGACCTTTTTACCAAACCTTTAGATGGTATTAGGTTTGAGTTCTTTAGGAAAGCTATTGGTGTTTGTGTATCTCCTTGAGTATGTCTATAGGTGCATACATTTACAAATTCATTATGTCTACATATTCATGCATGCACTCTCATATTTTATATATTATCTCATTTAAAAAAAAAAAAAAAGGTTTAAAATGTGGGAGGAAAGTGAATTTTTGAAGTTGCTATACTTTTTAAGTGATATCCTTAAACATGTTATACCGTGACCAAGTACTAGTAAAATGAATGAACAATGGCTAAAGTTCCATTGACTTGTTTATAACTTGTTTGGAGTACTTAATATAGGTTTCTACATGTATCATCTTCAATGTACACACTAAACTCTTGTGAATGAGTCTTAATCTCGTGTGTGAGATTTGAGATTGTGGTCAATGCTGTGGTGGAGTGAACTTGCATATGAATTGATCTTTAACTAGATGACATAATCTATAGTATATTCCCCATAAAGAAAACAACAATGAGCTTCAAAATATTTGAACCC